CTCCCCCTTGGGGTTAGGCGCACACACACACACACACACACACACACACACACACACACCTGGCATGAGTTTCAAGCTGCTGGGTCTGGACTTGAACCACTGGTTGACTATGTGGGAGTCCAGCAATGTAACCTTTATGCAATCTGCTGGTCCTTGATGTGCAAACTTTTCTGTAGAGGGGAATCTGCTGTGTCTTGCTATTCGTTGCTGTATAGCAAATTACATGCAAATTTAGCAGCTTAAAACATTACATACCCTAGCATTTTAAAGATAAAATTGTGTTTTTTGTTTTGGCATGTAGTTCAGATTTTAGGACCAGAGTTTGATGAAGATAAATAGGCAAGGCCATCTTTTAAACAGAATATTGTTATTTGTTTTTGTTTTTTCCTTGAGCAAACACTTTTTGAAGTGCAATTCTGCAGCATTCTCTTTATACCTTTTTATCTACCAGAGAGATGAAAAATAAAGAATGCAGATTTTTTTTCCTTCTTGTCCTGTAGGAAGCAGAAGTTTTGCTCTGCCTTCTAGTCTAAGGGGAGACGAGTCGGTACACTGTTTCCCAGCCTCAGATTTACTCTATAGGTCATGAGCTGACTGTATGTGAGGAAAGATGGCCTATAAAAATGTTTGCCTGACAGAGTTTAGAAAGGAATGCCTGTAAAAACAGAAAGCTTTCCCAGAGTGGTATTTCATTTCTGAAATGTCGTTTTTGACTTTTAAGAATTCTAGAGGTGGCTGATTTAAATCTTATTTTTGTTCTTTTCATCCGTAAACAATTTTAGAGCTATTCCACAATAAAGCATAATATGGTTTTTGTTTTTTGGGTTTTTTTCCAGATTTGGAGATTAATTTTATAAACTTTTGTTGTAAATTTGTCATTCATCTTCTGTGAGTTAAGATCTTGACAGATCACCCTTGTGCGATAGAGATAACTACATCTTTACCAAAAATACAAATACCTTTTGGCTTCTCAGAATTGGACCTGATGACAGAAACCGTTTCCCAGATCTCCTTGCATATCAGTAGGATTTATAATACGATTTGGCCAACAGAAATAAGGACAGGAGTGATGGAGTGCCATTTATAGCCTGGGTTCAAAAAAGCCCACCTATGCTATTTTTCACATTTTCCTCTTCCCTGTCTACCTTTTGGATATTGGCACATTACTGCTCGCATTACTTTAATGTATTGAGCTGAGCATTTGGTTAGTTTGATGGTGGTTTTAGTTAACCTTTGCAATTAATGTGTATTCTCAACTAAAGTCAATTTTGTATTTATTTCAACCTACTTTTTGAGAATGAGTAGATAACTTATGTTAAATGTAGTACAAATTATTTAAATGAGATGCAAAGATTTTTAAAAATCATTAGTGGATTTTTTTTAAAGAGGTTTTTGTTGTAGGTTGCATGCTTATGTCAGAGACAGAGATAGTGAGAGGGAAAGTGAGAAATCACCCCCCCAGGGGGGTGGCCACACTGCAGTCCTGTCTCCTTCATTCTCCTCCTGGGATATTGGGCACGTATGCACATGCACACACCCGGTGTGATTTTCAAGCCACCAGGTCTGGACCTTGAACCATAGTTGGCCATGTGGGAGTCCAGTGACTCAACTACTATGCCATCTGCTGACCCCATCATTTAATGAGTTAAGTAATGCTAATTCATGATTAGAGTATATAAATTTAGCCCTAGCAGTTTTTACTGAAAAGACCATTTATTTCCCCCATCTTGCCATGCCACTATTGTAAACTAAATGTCCACATATATGTAAACTTGGTTTCTGGTCTTTGTTCTGGTCATTGTTCTATTTGACAATCATTATGTACAAATTTGTGTTACTTTCTTTCTATCCCTTGTGTGGGTTTCCCTTTTCATTTCATGTAAAGTTTTAATCAGTTTGTCAAGTTCCATGAACAAATATTTTGGGATTTTTTTTTTTTTTTTTTTGAAGAGATTTTCGCTATAGGGCGCATGTGCTCGCCAGACAGAGAGAGAGACATAGAGACAGAAAGCGAGAAATCACCCCCCAGGGGGGATGGTCACGCCGCAATCTCTTCTCCTCCATTCTCCTCTCGGGATCTTGGGCACGCATGCACACGCGCCCGGCGTGAGTTTTAAGCCACCGGGTCCGGGACGTGAGCCGCGGTCGACTACGTGGGAGTCCAGAGACATAGCCATTATGCTAACTGCTGGTTCCCAAATATTTTGGGATTTTGATTGCAATTGTGGATTTAAATTTTAATGAATTATTTTGAATTTATGGATTAGTTTGGGAAAAATTAACATTTTAATAATCTGTGAACATGGCATATATTATTTAGGCATATTATTTAGGTCTTTCGTTTCTCTCAGTGTTGTTTTGTAGTTTCCTGTGTTGGTCTTACACACACACACACACACACAAAACACACCCATACACACATATGCTGGCATGATTTTCAAGCCCTTGGTCTGGGCTTGAACCACGGTCAACTATATGGGAGTCTAACACCACTTGCTTGTCCTCTTACATATATTTAAAAAATTTATTCCTAAGTATAATTTTTAGGCTATTTCCAATTAATTTTTTCATTTAATTTTCCAATTTTTTGCTAATAGTATATAAAAATGAAATTTATTAAAATTAAATACAGACACACGGAAATAAGAGTTGAAAAACTAAGAAAATGGCCAACTTAATTGTAGGGACAAGTCTGGAGTTGAATATTATATCCCAGAATTTAATCAGGAAAATTGAACCAGAACAGAAGATAAAAGTACATGAGACTGATAGGTTCATGCACCTACCATTTGAACAGAATCCTAACCTGTTTCCTGGCTTTAAGCAAAGTTCCTTGGCATTTCTTTGATTTAAGTTAAAACTGGTTTTCTTAGTAGTAACGAGTGAACTCACCATTGAAAGTTAGATTGTGTAGGAAATTGTGTGATCAATACAGTGTGGGTGGGAAAGGAATGGAAGACAATTGTAGACTCCAGAGATAGTGGGGGGAGGGGGCTGTGATGATGCTTAGGGAAGGAATGTAAATTGAGTTACAAAAAAAAAAAGCTTCAGGAAAAAAAAAAAATTCAATGACTACAGTAGGATATATAGCCCCAGCTAGGTGCTACTTTATAGGATGCGTAAAGTTAGACTTGTGTTCATGGAAATGTATATATCACCTGTGCTTGCTATGAAAACATTTAGATTAATTAAGGTCTTTAGTAATTCAATAAAATGTCGGGGGGAAACAGTATAGAAAGCAAGCATAGATACCAGAGACAGTGTGGGAGGAGAGTGGGAGATGGCAGAGGGTAAGAGATGGGGAATCAAGGATGGGGGGAAAAAAGCAAAACATACAGAAAACAAGAAATGGAAAATTATTTGCTGACAATCACATGTTTGTTGATGTGCTTGACTGAAACAATATACAGTGTACTCTGGATGGAAAAATCTCATTTTGTATTCTGTAATGATGTACAATGAATGAATACAAATAAATAAATTGAAATAAAAAAATTAAAAAATAATAAAACTTATTAATCTAAAAAATGAAATTTATTTTTGTACATTATCTTCATATTCTGCTGACTTTCTAAATTCTTATTATTCTAGTAATTGTTTGTAGATGTCTGAGAATTTTCTGTTATCCACTAATAGAGACAGTTTTACTTTTTAAAAATCTTTATTCATTTTTTTTTTCATTTTCTTGTCTTATTTCACTGACTAGATAGAATTCAAGTACAATTTGAATAGAAGTGTTGCGAAAAATATCATCATATTCCTAATCTTAAGGAGAAAGCATTCAATATTTTAAGTATGATATTAGCTGTAGGCTTTTTATAGCTTCTTTCATTGGATTTAA